AAGTGAAGAGGTTATCCTCGAAAAAATATATTTGTAATGAAATATTGCTGAGCGATTTTGAGATGTGTTTGACATTTTTGAATCATCTATAAGAAAAGATTTCAAAGAAAATCAAGAGCCTAGTTTCTGCACGCTTAACATCCAAGACTATTGCATAACTTCAAAAAGAACCATTAAGCACCATAAAGCACAAGAATGCAGTCTAAAAAAACAAGCCCATATAAATATCTGCGGTCCATTACGGCACAAAGGGAATTGGCCTGGTCTCTTCCCAGCAATTTCTCCACGACATATTTGAAAAATGACAGATAGAAGTTCAGATCAAAAGAGGACTAAATAAGAGACGGCTTTCAATAGTGAACGCCGCTCCAAGTTGAAGAAATGGCGAGAAATATTCTTCATGTGACTTGAGAAAGTGAAGCGTGTTGAGCATAGAACAGCACAAAATGGATTGATTATGATGGCAGGGAGGGGATTGATGGCTGAGAAGAAGGTAGATAAAAAGAGGGTTCAGAACCCAATGGATTGATTATGCTCGAAAGGCAGAATGTGCGCTGCACGCTCTAATCGAAAACATGTTAGATTGATATGAAATGTTTACTGGTAGTGAAAACCGCTATTTCCATTCCCTTTTTATAACACATGATGCTGTTCTCTCTTAACTGAGGTAGGTCATAATTACAGAACTATTCTACTGCAGCTTATCTCCTCTTCTACATTGCCTATTTATGTTTCCATGAAACTTTTAGTTAAAGGCAGCGATGATAAGGAGGAGGCACACTGTAGAAACATATGCACCACAGGAAGCATTCACTTGGCTGCCGGGGAAGTGAGAGGTGGCACTTTCACAGCAAAAGGTGCGCTGGTTGCTGAGCAGGACTTCGAAGCACTCCGCCCCCAAAAGCGATCCGTCCACTAGTGTAGTTGGTGATTTGGACGAGTTGCGTCGTTAACAGCGGCACAACCGGAGCAACTTGATTGGACCGTGGTTTGGCATGCTGCCACCAAACGCGTTGCCGTGAACTCGTTCATGCTTTAATTCCTTCTGTTATACTTTCTCGTTCGCCCCTTTAGCGGCTTGTCATAGACTAAACAACTTAGACGACACCCTTTCGGATTAAACCCTGCATTGTGGTAGTTGTGGAATGTTGTGAACTTATTAGAATACTCGCGAAAAATAGTTTAACACCTTGTCCACAGCGCGGCAAATATGGATCCCGCCATTTGCAGGCCACGTTGGGCATTGTGGCAACTATGCATGCCACACCAAGGGATTCACTTTATTCGTGCGTACCCGACGTTTCCTAGATTTTGTCTCATTCATATTATCAAAACTTCGCTGCTCACATAATTGTCAAATATGTGTTGGTTTGCCAGAGGTTTTTTAGGTCTTACGAAAATGTCTGCTCATCAATCCTCGCTTCCGTCTTATTCTCCTGAACATGTGATTAAAAAAATAGTACAAAGTAATAAATGCAAGCTTAATTGAATAGCAAGATAAAGGTTTTTTGTTGTCATAACCTGGATTTTTTCTACGACGGAAAGACAGTGCTGCGAGGAAAGGGGAAACGTGGGAGAGCACGTCCTACACGAGAGGGCGCGAACGCCACGTATGTTGATAAGAATGGCAGCGGTTGCAGCGGTGAAGCGAAGGCATTCGTTCCATTGCCGAATACTTTCACATTGCGAAAACACCACCACTAAAGCAAAGGGGTCTCGATACCTCAGACGAGAGGAAAATTTTCCGAAGATATGGACGCGGCCTGTGCCTTTGGTAATAATTCATTAATCTGTTTTTTGGCCGTCGTCACTTATAGTGTGTGATCTGCACTCGACGTTCTTCCGTTTTTCGAAATAAGGGTAAACTGCAATAGTGAGTGATTCATGACGCGAGTTTAGGCGGGGGTAAAAAAAATCGGTACGGTGTATCGACATGCATCTGTTACAAGAAAAACACCTGCTGCTTAGATTTCGCGGGGCCGCATTAGTAGTTGAGATAAGTTGGCAATAATGAAACTGGTGCTAGTAATCAATGAAATACTAATTATAGATGGTGCACTTTACGCTCCTCTCATCTTTCCGTGAATACGCAATCCACGACTGACGCGTCACTAACAAGACAAATACTAGTTTCCTTGTCGGATTTCAGTTTGCGGAAATTTCTGTCGTTTTTCTGTTTCTAAATGACAGGAAAGGACCTTCATTGGATTTGAATAGGCTTGTGCTGCAAGAAAATGTCCGGAAGAAGTATTTTTTCCACAACGGTTCTAAACGCATTGCAACAGCCATGATGTCATAAATATGTAAAATTGATATAGTTTTCAGAAATACACGTTTTTTGACAAAGGCTATGTGATAATTTCCGGCGCCGTCGCAATACACCGAGCTCTTCTAGGTCCAAGCCCAGGAGGGCGTTTTCAGGACTTACATCCAAGTCTCGTGTCAGCTGCAAATGTTATATCAGACTTAAATTTAGAAAAAAAAAACACATGAAGGTCAACAAATTTGTTGAATGTGTAAGAGCACTGATCAGAACCAATTCACGCTGGAAAGCAAACCCACTTCAAATTAACTTACCGATGGTGAGAAAAACCAAGAGAAAGGACCAGGAACCAGAAATAGAACCCCGTTGATTTGAGCATTGATGCGGCTATCATCGCTGCGCCTTCTGCAACACTGCGCTCCCTCACCTATCTAATCACTCGCCAAGTATGGACCTGCGGCGAGTGTTCGGATGATCGGAGGGCGTGCACTGGCCCACCGCGCCAAGACTGAGCCTTAATACATATGTCGCCGAGATCAACTCCTTCGGTGCCGATTGCGCTTCAGTTCGCACCCTCAGGAGGTCCGCGTGTCCCTCAACTAGGTGAATTACTCCTTCTTCGATCTTCCTTCTGAACGTGAATTCGTTCTCTAAGTAACAACGTAATCTAAATTAACCGTGCCGTTATAGAAATTCCCCGATTGCTCACTGCTAGTCCCTACATAACAAGACCCACTCCTTAGTTTCCCAGTTTTGAAATGAACCACACTTTTTTTCAACCACACTTTGCCTTTCCTCCTATATCCGCAAACTTGCTAATTATAGTTGCATTCTCCACGTCAGCCTATGTAGACTTAAGTAATCGTAACACTCAGTCTAATGAGCACCTTTGTTCTTGTTTTCACTTGTTCCAGGTGTTTATTTCTACGGTATTTGATTAAAATGTTATCATCACATTTTGAAGCATTTGACAGGAAAGGTTGGAATAGAATGTGATGGAGAGATGTCAAGCCTACACTCTGAATATTCAGGGCAGCTTTCATGGACACCTCAACATGGATGTGCAAAGTAAGTGCAAGCTATGGGAACCGCGCGCCCGTTGTCTTCAATTTTTTTAAAAATTTTTACCCGCTTATTTTGTTTTTTGTGCACTGTCCTTCTTGACGCGTGAAGCGGTTCACCGGCGTAGTGAAGCGGTCTCCTTGTTCTCAACTCATAATTGCACCGAGAAAGTGTTTCGGCACACGACCTCCAGAAGCAGCCCAAAAATTAAGGAGACCGTGGGATGCTGTGCCATTTGAAAATCTGAAGAGTGGGGGGCCCTTAGGGCCGAATGTGGAAAGCCATTCAGTGCCATTGACCAAGCGAATTTCAGAGATTTTACAGCCTTTTTCTCTGCGATCGAACTTGGTCAATTCACGGGTCAGGCCATGGTTCGGGTTGTAATCGTTGGAATACCTGCCTACTGGTGCTTCTTGTAAAGCTGGGATACGAAGCCTGCGAGCCGCTCAGAAATTCAGAATCTCTACGGGTTGATTCTGGAAGGATCTGAAGCACCTGCGAGCGTCCCCTCCAAAGTACTCAAGCCTCGCACCAAGCCGATGGGATAGATTCAAATATGATTGTTTCAATGTGCCTTGGTGAGTAGTGAACTGTTGCTCCCAGTAAAGATGCGAGATGAGCAGTTAGCGTTAGATTTTAAGTTTTTAGTTGCTATGACCCTTAAGTGCTTGTCGGGAGAGATCCAAAAGAAGCTCAGCATCAAATCCCATCTCCTCTTGTTGTTGAATTGCACATATCGAAATAGCAAAATTGGAGTGATGGAGTTTGGAGAAGCAGGAGATGGAATGTAGTTGACTTTAAAGGACGAATGCAAAATTGGAATGATGGTCGAAGAAGGAGTAGTTCACCCAGTTGAGGGACCCGCGGACCTCAACTGGGTGAATTGGCGAAGTTCCCACTTGTAAAACGGTATGCACATCCTTGAAGGACAAATTCACGATAAGAACGAAGATCGAAGAAAGGGGAAGTGACTAGTTGAGGGACCCACGGACCTCCTGAGGGTGCGAACTGACGCGCAATTCACATGGAAAAATTTGACCTCTGCGACCTATCATGCCTCAAGGCTGGCGGGTTCGGCGATCTCCGCCCACCGACCATCTAATCACTCGCCGCAAGTCTATACGTGGAGAGAGATTAGACAGATGAGAGAGCGTGCTGCTGGGGAGGGCACAGCGATGATAGTCGCATCAATGCTCAAATCAGCGGGCAAGGAAGGGGTCCCGTTTCTCAGGCACTGGACCGTTTCTCATGGGTTTTCCTTCCTTAGTGAACCACTCACCATCGCCAAGTTTTTGAAATGGGTTGCTTTTCCAGCGTGAACTCGTCCTTTAATCGAAACAGAAAACCGAAATATCACCAAAAGATTTGCGGTGAAACTTCAAGATCGCCTCAGTCGACATCATTTGCCACAGCTGTTGTTTAACCAACAAGAAATGCGCAGTTTATTATAATAAATGAAAGAAAAAAAGCAATAGAAATCAAACACAGTCTTCAAGTTCACTGGAATATGAAAATGCAATAAATACCATGAACATGGGCAAGAGCACTAAAAGAAGGCCGATTCGCGAAGGATTTAGTGTCTACCTAATGAATATCCACAAATTCGTCACTGAAGCTAGGTAAAAGCACGTGTTTCATTTATTACAACATTCACCGACTCTCAACATCGTTCGAGTTATCTCAGCAAAAATGTCGGTGATCGGTATGGTTTGACCTGCGAATAGTAATTAATAAGGAAATCTCTAGTCTGCTTCTCGTTGAATGAGCCGTTCGCAGTGCAATTTGAGCATAGGAATGAAGCCGGAAATTGCACTTTCGGAAATTGCGGATCTTCTGTGTCGCGTCCTTGAAGACGAGCATTTACGATGTTGTGAGCTCGCCATAGGTACAGGAATACGTCTTCCGGTTTGTGAACCTGAAGCAGCGATTTTTGGTCGAGGATTAGTCGTAGGGGACCATTGCAAGTGATATTGTATTGTACTGTACCTAGCAAAGACGGAGTTTGTTATATTTTCTGTGGAGCAAAACAGGTGCGGATACAAAGAAGCTTCGCAATACATGTGATATGCTGGAGACCAAGGTCTCGTTGCTGCCTAAGGGCGGTAATATTATCCAAATCTTTTCTGAGGAGAAAGCAGTGGCTTCAAGGTCACCACCACCTCTAAGGGGTAGGACTCAAGCCTTTGACGTCTTTGGAGAGGCTAAAAAGTAAGTTATTTCACATGAAATCTCCAGGTTCTGCGAAAGAAATCTATTGAAGATCAATGCGAATGGATTCAGATCCATGGTATTTCTTTGAGTCTTTTCAGAGAACAATTGTATATGGAAGGCATACTGACGCTGAAGGCAAAAACTTCGAGGCAATTTTTCATACCGTGACTATTTGAAGGGTTATGAAATCTGTACCCGGAACATAAGCAAAGTAATAACAGAATAGACCTTATGAGTTCCGTTATGATCGGCTGATTATCTCACCATGTCCAGCGAAAACCTCGGAGCAAGTCAATCAACTTCATTACGAGAGCGATTTGAAGGGTTACGAAGTCAGCACTGTTAGGGAAGTTTGGGGTTCATCCTAAGATCGGAGAGACGAATTCTGAAGTCCCAGCCGGAAGAGAACTTGACAGAATCACTTGGGAAGTCATAGTGGGTATAAGGGGCGAGCTACAAAGTCACATCACCAATTATTATACTATTTCTCGTCAGGAACTGGATTCGAATTGAAAGAAAGCAATTTTTCCAAAGCGGCCCATGTAGGGGCTCCTCTGAACAAGGGAAACATTTTATTTTTGCTGAGCGGCTCTAAAAATGATAAATAGGTATAAGAATAGAAATGATGAAAAATAGGTGTGAGCCCCACAAACTTTGAACGTGGCCATTACTTCATTCCATTACTATTCGTTTAAGTGGGTTCGAAGACCTAATAGTTTTAGTACAGCCAGACGTTTCGCTGAAAGATCTCTCGCGAGCTATAAGCATCAGCTGTTGGACTAATGTGGCAAATATTTGGGTGAAGAAGGAGGGGTAAGATTGCGCAGCTAAATGTAGAGAGCGCCTTCTATACATATGTAGGATGCGCAAAAATTAAGAAAGCAAAGTGAAAAAAGTAACATAGCAGAACTGTAAACTCGTCAAGTGGCCCAGAAGCCAAATAGCCTTTACCTGAGCTTCCATAGGGAATGAAGTTGTGGTCATTTTGAGGAAGTGCTCACGGCAATGCAGGCATCCGAAGAATGAGCCCACCCATGCACGTATTGCTTGTAGTGGCTCGAGCGGCTTGAAGTCGGCTACTAAAAATTGCCAAAATTAGACTCTCTTTTTCTTCAAGCTCTAACTTCCTTTTCTGCCCCCTCTTCAGTGGAACTGCTATTTATACTGCTATTCAAAAAAGGGCAGTTTTTCCCTGATGTCGAAAGATAAGGAACCGTTTAGATCTCGTGGTCTTGTAATTATGCTAAGCTCACGGTGTTCTTCCGCTTGCTTGTAAGCAGAAACTGTGAGGGCATGTAACGCAACCCATAGACCGCATGTGTAGCCACGAAACTGGCCGCTTGACCCACGACAGTGATCCCAGTCTGAGTTGACCGCAAACGGATTACCAGCGGCTTCCTGGAACAGATCGCTTTCAAAATATATCGACCAAAACTAGAGCTCAGTATCAGAACGACAAGCTCCGAGCTTACCTCTGCAGCGATGAACTCCTTTTGCCAGTCGTCGGTCGGAATGGCGCTATCCAACCCTCGATTTTCAATGAAATCTCTCAGACGAGCAAACACCTTGACAGCGCGTGTCGACCGATCCAATAATGTCTGGAAATTCGAGGCTAAAAAATCGGGAGTTCAGGCGATTTTCAGGTACAAATAAAGGAGGCTCAGAAATGTAGCTTTAGAGACTAATCATAATATAGCAAAATATTCGTAATATCTTTCCATTGATCTAAACTGCAGGGAACCCCGAATCTATGCACACTCCATTGCTCTTAAAGTACGAATTCACGATGAAAAAGCAACCCATTTCAACTTATCCTAGGGATGGTGAGTGGTACACGAAAGAAGGAAGAACTATGAGAAACGGCCCAGAACCCGAGAAATGGGACCCCTTCCTTGCCCGTTAATTTGAGCATTGATGCGACTCTCATCGCTGTGTCCTCTTCAACACTACGCTCTCTCAGCTATCTAATCACTCACGTATACACCTGCGGCGAGTGATCAGATGATTGGTGGGCGGAGATCGCCGGACCCGCCAGCCTTGAGGCATGAGGTCGCCGAGGTCAAATTTTTCCATGGGAATTGCGCGTCAGTTCGCACCCTCAGGAGGTCCATGGGTCCCTCAACTAGGTCAGTTCCCTTTCTTCGACCTTCATTCTGATCGTGTACTCCTCCTTTAATACATAAGTAATAAGCCAAGTACGAGGCCTGTGGAATGCACTCACCATCGGAACTACCAAGTCTACGCTATTTCATTCGTGGCAATTCTTCAGCAAGCCTGCGGGTTCCCATTTCTCAGATTCTGGACTGTCTCTCATGGCTTTTTCTTCACCCCGGCACCTTGGACCACTTCTACCTTGATTCTGAAGTTCTGCCCTAAAGACGTGAGCTCCGCATTCGAATTGGTACAAAATTTTTGAGCCACCCTACATTTATTGTAGAAGGAATCTTTAGAGAGCAAGTGAAGTTACTGGCTTTGCAACATTGCACTACGTTAGCCTTCGAGCCGTGGGGCGATGGAATCACATAGAACCTTCCTAATGAATGATGTAACTGTATCTGACAGTTCTGTACATAAGCCGCCACCTCTGCAGTTTCAGTGTCATTGTAGTAATGTTAAAAGGAATCTTGCGCGGAAAACTCTTGCACTCTTTCCTGACATGAATATGTCAGTTGTGATCACTGGAAATAGCGCACAAAGTTTCACGCATGAAGATTCGGCTTCTGAAGAGAAACATACGTACAAAAACTACGCGTTATGGACCATCGAAGGACCAGGAGGCAGAGCCAGGCGAAGCATGGAAAGAAGACGGCGTTTGGCCGGCTACGTACAAGGCGACGCAATGAGAGAATCGGGTTAAAGCGCGCGATTTCGGAGAGTGGAGACAAATCGATCGATGGAGTAGGATGGAGTAGAAGTGTAAGATGTGAATGCAACGAAGCAGAAGGCCAGAAAGAGCTTCTAGTGAATGCACTCCAAGAACCAAGTTTGAGCATCCCCGTCGCCAGCATTCGTGAAAGACGTCCGTGGGCAATTCGAACGCGTAGCAGCCTTTTCGAGTTTTCGAATTTCTAATCGAAACGAAAGCAATACTTCAGTTCTTCTCAATATTATCGTGGATAATGAGTCTCAAGCCAGTGATTCATGCCTGAAATAGAATCATGATTTTTCCGCGCAAGATTCCTTTAAAGGCACTGGACGGTCCGGTGAGCTGCGCCTGTGCAGTGGATCTTTAACGATTTCCATAGTAGGATCGCGAAATAAACAGTAAAAGAACCAATTGCCCTTCGTTCATGTTAAAGTCTGGCCTGATCAACTCACATTATTGCCATAGGTGGTTGTGACAGGGAAGTGGTCGGCAAGTAGACTAACGAATCCATGAAGAGCAGTTAGATTGGAGCCAACCAACGATCCACCGCTTCGAGAACTTTCACGGAACAAGGCGTAGCGCATCGCCTTCAACATGTCTACCTCAGAGACATAGTACAGTGTACGACATCTGAAATCGCTCAGATATGTATGTGCCTCGGAACGTGTGGACTTATAAAGCGATGTCAGTTCCTACGACTTTTATACCACACTCTCACCTTTTGTATTCATTACCTCTTTCCCTGAATATTCTGCGGAGGCATACTTTGACAGTTAAAGCAAGTCATTCACTTCTATGCTGGAAATGGAGCCAGCGATAGCCGATCGGTGAGAGTGTAGGCAGGGGTCGAACCCCCTGCTCTCAGAAGGTGAAGTCTCATGCCTACACCTCTGAGAGCAGGAGTTCGACCCCTGCCGAGACTTAATCTAGCTCTATGAAAAATTTCAGAAATGCCTCTAGCACAAGGATCAGGCCAAGTAGGTTGATGAAAATCCCAGTAAGCCAAATCGCAGAAATCAGTGGTAAACAACGACGTCAGCCGGATGTAACGCGCAGAACCCTCGCCCTAGGTCTTCACTTAGTGTGCAAAGATTAGCGACGACTTAGCACCTCGACTGAAGAAACTACTGAAGTTTGCTCTTGTAAAACGGTATGCACATCCTAAAAGGCAAGGTCAGAGCCACCTAAGCAGCCCTTACCATGGCTAGCAGTGCAGGGCACACGAGTGCAATGTTACCGCCACCTTTCTACATCGAAACCCGTCACCAGAACCGCAGGCGCCATGAACTTTTAGTAGACTACACCCAGGGTGAATATTGCTTGAGGAATCCTCAACGGCACGTCGAGCATTTTTGCCTGATTCTTTACGTTCTCGCGCGCGGATATTCACTCTCGCCACCCGCGACCGTCTGTGCTCTCCGCGCGTATGTATATTCACTATCGGCTCTACTCTCGCAAAGCAGAGAGCGATGGTCGAGGAATTCCTCGACCGTTATTCACATTGACTCTACCAAACAGAACATGGTCCGCCCACCGATCGATGTCTTGTCTGCGTCGCTGCGTGATCTGCTATGCTCTCTCTACTCGGAATTCTCTACCACCCTCTGCGCTCACATTATCTCTCATCTCCCTCCCTGTCTTTTGAACTTCTATACAACATTGTGCGAAATGCTCGTATTTCTTGTGCATGCCAGGATTTTCTTTCCTTTTTTTCCATTGACGGTCCGCCTCTCACCACTACTTTCACATTTGAGTGGAATTAACCCATCAATGTAATCCTGATTTTTGCCTCAAAGTGCGTGCTTCAAGTATCATGCCTAGATGTAGCCGTTTGATCCTTCGTGAAGAGGTCATTGCTCACGAAAAAGCAACAGCTTTTATAACAAAATATAGAAGGGTACTTGTTGCGGATGAGTTTTTTCTTTGAAAAGACTGGTGATATGATCAATGTATTTGGAAAAAAGTAGGACAAGAGAAGTATGAAATAAAGGATAATGAGCATAATCTTACTTTTCCGGATCGGCATCACATGGATTCGTTCTATTTTTGCGACTATGAAACTGCACTGTTGGGACGGCTGCTTCGGGCCTACCTGACAGGAACCCTTCTAGCTCCGCTAGAAGGAGCCGACGAAGTCTGAAATGGTAGATTTTGAACACTGTATCGTTATTTCATCGCGTACTACCGAACCCTTTATCTCGTATAAGAATACTCAAATAATTACTCTGCCGGCCTGTATAATAACGTTATTTAATACTAAAAATTGTTGAGAGGCAAAGTGTATTTGCTAAGAGCACTCGCTTCATGCCACGTGGGTCAGAATTTGCGATGCTCATAAGGGGCTGAATGCAGCAAGTTTGCGCAATCGGAGACTCAATTTATTTTAGCACTTACCTCGAGGAAATGTCTCCCAAATTCTCTCGAAGTAGTCTCTGAAACAAGAGGAGCCGCACAGGTCCTAATAGAAGCTACTGAGCTACGGATACTCAGAACTCAACTTGATGGACCAAATCCCCTCACCCCCACTTTTATTGAACCATACCCTCCAGGGTCCGCAAACGGAAGGAGCGAATTGTCCTTACTTTAGATGATGTGTGCATTTACATCAACGAAGGTCGTTTTTCAATGCCAAAAACCCTACGGGTAAATTATATAAAACTTTCGGAAACGGGTAAGCTCGAGTGAAAATCTGTTTAACCATGATCGACTTTCATTTAATCTTGGCATTGAAGATTCAGTCTTATAGTTTATTGAAGCCTCTCAAGATTGTAGTACTCAACAACGCTGACTTTCCGCTTTCTTCGCCTTCTTCAGAGCTTGAAAAAGTCGAGAACATTGCTGCTCAGTGTACTCACATTCTAGTGGTGGTCTCTCTCACTCCTTGGCTTAAGACATCAGGGTGAGCTGGTAGCACTCTACGCATTGACGGATACCGGCTGAGGGTTTTCTAGTCTACTGGGTTGTCTTCATGATGGTTGGAAGCTTCGAAGGATCGATCTCAATGTTCTCGACTTTTTCAGGCTCTGAAGAAGGCGAAGAAAGCCGAAACGTCAGCCTTGTTAAGTACTACAATCTTGGAGAGGCTTCAATAAACTATAAGACTAAATCTGTTCAACCAATATTGTTTCTAAATGAGCATCTCTCTCAGTGATTGAATTTGTAATTGAATGAGGATCTCAAATAGTGCGGGAGGGGTGAACTGCATGCCGAAAAATTCTCACCGCCCAGTTCCCACTGATCGTGGGAACAAAACGTATAGAGAAACTGCCGCTTCACATAACGTGGAAAAAATGGGTATAATTGACTTTTTCAGCATGATTTCACTTTTTGAAAGGAACAATAATTAAGATCATCTTACTCCACGACAAGGATGGGCTTCTTATCGGCGCGCTTGAAAATTGCCAGCGAAGGAAAATCGGTGAGACGAAGAGCATCAGCTAGAGGGTGATTTTTCAAACATCGTCGAACCAGAAGACGATCTCGCTTTTTGTGCAGATCCAGTAGCAACTGAAAGTCAGCTTAAAACTCAGAAGCTGTTTCAAACCTAGAAAAGATTTCTTACAATGAGCTTGTTACAAAAGCTCTGATCATCGGTTAAAATGAGATATGCAAAATTGAAAAATAGTATGTCAAAATACCAAAATAAGTTAAACTACACAGAAATCAATGAATTGGACATTTTTAAACTCTTCCGGAAGTACGGAGCAAAGTTCTAAGTCGTGCTATTCGACGATTGTTACCCTCCCATTCAAAAAAAAACGAGAAGAAGGTCGGATGCAGGCCATACACCATAAGCAACGCCTGCCTCTAAGTCAGGGTGAAAATCGTATCGAGTACGTGGTCGCAGAAGTACGACCCCCCCCCTAAAATCGAGATCCTGGCACGACCCCCAAAGCAGAGCAAATTAATTCAATTAATTAATCAAAAACAAATCCTGCAAAATAAATCAAATTGACGCCTCATCTTGTCATTTATGCACTGTCTTTCATCGCTGCACTTTT